TTTGTCTCATTCATGTATTCAGAATTAGACAGGGTTGCTTTACCTACTGAAAATAAATTTTCTAATCTAAATCTGTTCGTAAACCTTACTGGTGTTTAGAGCTCCAACATCAATGGGACAAAGCGTGGTATCTTAAATGTAAATCTCCTGTTCGAAAGAAAGTTTTTAAGTTCCATTTTGTTCAGGAACGTAAATATTTTGACACAATTCTACGTAGACATAAACGTTCGTATCAACTAGCTGAACAGCAGCGTTTATTAGACAATTATAATCAAGGCGACGCGCTCAGTTTTTGGAAGACTATTGGTAGGATTGGTATTGCGAAAGATAGAAGTAATTTTGTTCCCTGGGAGGTTGAATCCGTCGGTAATGTATTATAAAACCACGGTTTTGAATAAATGGCAAAGCGATTATTTGTCGTTATTTGTGGAAAGCTCTTCCTCGGATTTTGATGATAATCACTTGAGTTCGATTCAAAATGAGATCGCAAATAACAGGATTACAAATGACCGGATACTTGATACTACTGACCTGGATCTTCCAATTACACGTGCGGAAGTCGAGTGAGCTATTGCACGTGCAAAACGTGGTAAGGCAGTCGGCCTTGACCTTCTCCCAGTTGAGGCGCTAAAGAACAGCACTTGTAACGACATTCTTTCAGGCTTTTTACTTTTTGCTTCGAAAACAATACATGTCCAGAAACCTGGCGCTCTAGTGTTATTAACCCGATTAAAACAACTAATACCAATCCACGTGATCCGTTAAGTTATCGAGCTATTTCTTTAATTTCGGTCCCATGTAAGTTATACGCCGATGTGTTAAACACTCGTTTAAGCAGCTGGTTAGAAACTAATAACATTCTTGCTGATGAACAAAACGGTTTTCGTACTAAGCGAAGTACTCAAGAACATATATTTAGTTTATTTTCCGTTATCAATAATAGAAAGTCGTCTAGACAATCCACATATGTTTGTTTCATTGACGCGATGAAGGCGTTTGACAAAGTGAATCGTTCGTGTTTATAGTGGCGTCAATGGTAGATTTCTTCATGCTGCATAAGCAATGTATGATAACACCTGGTCACGTGTAATTATAAAAAATTGCTGAACAGATCCGTTTCCAGTAACTTCTGGAGTTAGACAAGGATGTGTGTTATCTCCGACATTGTTTTAGGTATTTCTTAACGATCTCGCAGAGGAAATTAATAAACTTAAATGTGGTATTCAGGTAGTCGATAATATGTTAAGTATTTTACTGTACGCGGACGACGTAGCTTTGATTGCTACGGACGAAATCTCCTTACAGCGTATGTTAGACTGTCTCTGGCTGTGATGCACAATGGCGTTTAAAAGTAAATGTGAAAAAAAACTAAGGTTGTTAATTTCAGGCCCCCATCTGTTAAAATATCGGAAGTTTTCTTTACTATCGGCTCTTCTCACACTGACATTATTGACGCCTATAAATATTTAGGATTTTGGCTTCATGAGCATTTGGATATTACTTATTCTGTTAAGGAATTGGCAAAATCAGCAAATAGAGCTCTTGGTGTTCTTATCTGTAAATTTAAATTAGCGGCTGGTATGGCATATTGAAATATTTCGTTTTTGGCGGCGAATTCAAGCGGTCGATCTCAATAGACTTCTTTGTTGGATTAGTATATGGTCTACAAAATTCCGTAAATCTTGGGTAAACAATGTTTTGGATTTGCTTAATAGTTTAGATCTAACTATCTCTGACGGTCTGCATTTAACCCACTTCGATTTTACCCGTCTAAAATATAAGCTATTAGCGTTAGATGAGCATGATTGGTATTCAGAATTGCGGAATGATAGAGGTTTACAAAATGGAAATAAGCTTCGTACTTATCGATTGTTCAAACACTCGCTGTCTGCCGAACCCTATGTTACATGTATTATGAACAGGTCTCATCGTAGTATCCTAAGCAAGTTACGCTGCGGCACATTACCCTTACAAGTTGAAATTGGGAGATTTGCTAAACCTATCACTCCTTTACAGGATAGAATTTGTAAATTATGTAATAATAAAGCTGAAAATGATGAGATACATTTTCTCATTAACTGTCCATTTTATTCTGACTTATGATATGATTTATGGTCGAGAATTATAAAGTCTGATCCTATATTTATTTCATTCCCTCCTGTGGACCAGACAGTGTTCTTAATGAACTGTAACACGTATATAAAACCTCTTGCCGCACTTATTTCAAAAATTTTTGCTACTAGGCAACATTTCCTTACTTAAAACTGTAATTCATTTTTATCGGGTTTTGCAATCCTATAACTTGTAATTCCTTTATATAAATAATGTTTTTCATTGTTCATTGTGTCTCATCGGCCCATTATGACCTGATGTTTTATGTATTTATGCAAGTTTTTTATGTCTAATGTGTGCACATACAACATGTGACACATATATAAAATGTATATGAATGAATGTATGTGACTGTTACGCATGAGTGACCGCTGTTGCAGTTCCATGGGCCAACAGTCTTTAGTCACGCGTGACATATTGTCGTGTGAGTTATCAAAAGACGCAGGGCTGGTTTCCCCAAATTGCTTGACGCTCGGTTTCAGACAGTTTGTTTGATCTTGTTTAGTACGTTTGACCTCGCTCTTACTTTTGACAGTTTGTAAGCACGGGCTTCTTAAGTTAGTGTTGGTCGTGCGAACAAGCCAAACAGTTGAAATAGAAGAAGTTGAATAAATACAGTGGATGTTATGTTTCATTAATCAAAGTCATGTGCACTCTCGGCGGGTAAAAGTTGTTTTGATAACATACCATATATTAGGAACTGTTTAATCCTGGGATAATTATCTCAGTATTTTTGTTGTTGCTTCGGTTGGACGAGGATAATTCCCAAATCATTTAATAAATCAACATATAATGTTAAGAGTAACAATTAAGAGTCACTTGTGTCAGACACTTGTGTACGAGACGGGATGGTAAGTTTCTGATACGAGATACGACGGTTTATAAATCATAACAGAATGTTATTATACACAGGTGTAATACACTGGATAATCGAGGATCTGGGAACATGGGAACTGAAGTACTTTTGTTTCACTGACACCTTCTCCGATGCTTATCTACACCCTCTATGATAACTACAACTGCAATTTTTCAAATCCATGACGTGTGACGACGTTAAGTGGTCCATCTAGCTGATCTGATTCCGATGGTTTGCCTTTGTCTCGTGTAAAGGTTCTCGTGGATACATAAGAGTAACTGTGCTTACAAGATATGTTTTCAGTAATTTCTTGTCAAAATGTAATGAAATTTGGCATATAAAGATGCATTAAGGTTTTGTTATACCCCCTCCCTGAAACGGCAAGAGTGAGGAAGCTGAACTTTAGCATGTATAGTGTATCGTCATGACGACGACATAGTTTGTTCAATGTATTAGGATTTTAAACTCTGTCATAGGAATAAGTAGTAAAAATTTAAATGTCACAAAATATTCAAATCTTGTACACTCAAGAACCTTTGTGAGCATGATAATGTTTATAAGATTTGTGGTTTTGTTTGTTTGTTTAACGCCGCACTCAGCAATATTCCAGCCATATGACGGCGGTCTGTAAATAATCGAGTCTGGACAAGATAATCCAGTGATTGACATCATGCGTATCGATCCACGCAATTGGGATCGCTGGCATGCATCAACGAAGTCAGCGAGTCTGACCACCCGATCCCGTTAGTCGCCTCTTACGGCAAGCATAGACGCCTTTTACGACAGTCGTATTCAAACATATCGTATTCTAACGAAGTAAAACGCTTCCGTTATGTCTTAAGTTCTATCAATGCGATTGTTTTCAAAGGCGCCTGCGTACAACAAAGTATAATACGTTTCACGATGGTTTGTGGCTTCTTATAAACATTGACCCGTGAAGATCCGGGTAGAACAGGTATTCAGCAACTCATGCTTGTCGTAAGATGCGACTAACGGGATCGGGTGGTGAGGCTCGCATTCTTCGTTGATGCATGTCATCGTATCCCAATTGCGTGGATCGATGCTCATGATGTCAATCACAGACTCGATTATTTACAGACCGCCTTCATATAGCTGGGATATTGCTGAGTGCGGTGTTAAATAACAAACAAACAAACAAACAAACTGTAGTGAAGCTTTCCAACCACTCTGAATCATTTTACTGATTAAGCAGCATGAACATCTTAATGGATGTGTGTTTGGTGAGCTTCTGTATTTCTCGACACTTCTATATCAGTGTTCCCTTTGATGCTACGATTTCTAAGAAGACGCAAATGGTTTTTTTTTATATCTTTTATAAATCGCTGCATTCTTTATCAAATCTTTTTGTTGATTGTTTAAGCATGTATTTCGAGCCTCCTTTCTTCATTACAGCGTAGAACAGTTTGTTTAATCTTTCTTCGTGTATATGGACCGAGAATCTTTGAATAATGGCGCTGGTATTTTCCGAGTCCAGATTATCCAGGAATTGTTTACTTACCGAGGTCAATCCACACATATCTAGGAATAGTTATACCTTGGCTGTCATTAGATGTACTGGCGGGATTGTTCACACTTGGATTAAAGCTTAACTGACAGGAAATTGTAAGATGTTACTGTATCCGTATATGTAAGGTGAGCTACATGACAAACGCATAGCACACTATGCATGCTTTGTGTCTCATTAGTGTAAGTATGTATTTCAATTAGCTTGCATTTGTCACATGATATTTGTACTACTATGAATGAAAATCTAGACTTTTAATGATAATCAACTTGACACTCACTTGAAGAGGTCATTTTACGAAAACGAGGACCCGAGGATTGGGCCCTGATGTGGTCTGACCAAGTTGAGGTTTGTGTACTGTCATAGGGGCGGTGGGGTAGGCTTGTGGTGAAAGCGTTCGTTCGTCACGCCGCTCGATGGGTACATTGTCAGAAACCCATTTCTGGGGAAGCATACCGAGGTTGTGGACCATGTCGGGTGTTGACAACCATGACGGTCGTACTTGGGGTCACCATAGTTGTCAACAACTCTCACATAGCAACATCTCACCCTCGATCATATATCGAAAGATTGTTTCTTTTTTCAGAGGACGTGGTTGTTGATACTTATGTGATAATTATGCGACATCTCAACAGCCTGTGCAGGGGCCAGATATGTAACTGGATCTACTAGCCTGTTTTAACAAGCTTGAGTAATCTCGAATTGATGCAACTTTTTCGTCATTGGACACATAAGTCATGTGACTATGACCTGACACTCACGAATCGCATCTAGGTCACTTGCCCGGGTGAAAAACACCTCGCTCTTCGCAAAGAATATGGTGAATGCTTAACCGTGGGAATTAACTGACAGGATATTAGAAATCAAGAAAAAGTAAGTTTCAGAATTTTTTTTATGGGTTTCAATCAATAATGTGCCCTCCCCATCCCCCTTATTATGGGGAGGGGGGAGGGGGGGGGGGGGGGTTAAGCGGGATGGTATGCAATGCTATGTGTGATAAGGCGTGGTGACTTAACGCTTGATAAGGGCGTGGTGTCGTTTTCTGACCGACGTTGAACACCGTTCCTGATACTGATCACTGGATTGTCTGGTCTAGATTCCGTTGTTTCAGTCTGCCGAGTTATGGCAGGAAGTTTGCTTGGAACGGCGTAAGGCAACAAAAAACTCAATTTTTGTACAACTAAGTGGCGGCTGCTACCGGTAGAACCGGAATGCTGACCCTATTAGCGCATACCTGGTGTTGCCACTGAGTCTTAGTGATCAGTATATATAACAGTTATCCCTATTGTGCCCTTTACGCACTATGGCAACTGTTTCCAAAGACTTACTCTCTATGGCGTAGACGTGTTGAATGCAAGACGTTCAATGTGTTCGGCTTAATATGCTGGCTTCACTGTCTTTGGGTATATTTGAAGTCACCAAAATAAAGAACTGTCTGAAGTAGGTATCGTAACCTCCATCTTCAGTAGTTGATGAAAAACATGTGTTTTAGTTTGGGGGATGGGTTGGGACAACAAGACTGAAAGACAAATAACTGGTTCTCCACTGTTAGTTCATAACACATGTATGAATACATGGCGATTTCTATAAAATCGTTATACCTGTTTCTTACGATTGCCCACTATTGTTTTATAGGGGTAAAAGAACACTATTTGTTACTCAAGTAGAGCATGTTTTATGTGACAAAACATATATATAATTTTCTCCACTGTACAATATATCGATGTCATAATGTCTAATATCGATGTCATCAAGATGCGATCGCATGTTAGAATCTTCAGAAATGACGTCATGATAGAACAATGTTTTATCGTGAAATATACCACAATTCGTTCTTCATTGTTCTTTGCGATTTATCGCGTAGCCATCTTTTATAGGCAATTTAGCTATAACCCATATCAGACAACATATTAGTATCTATGGCTGCTAATTAAACGAAGTTTGGTTTAAGGAGATAACATTACCACAAAACTTGTGGAATATTCTTTATAATAATGATTAGCAATATACATATTTTAATATATTTCAATGGCACAGATACTGATACATATCACATCACTAATCACGTATCATATCGCATATTTTCATATCATATATCACGCGTGCTTTTACAATTACTCAAGCTGTGCAGTATGAGTTTCAGCGTCTACACAACATTTGAGCCCTTCCTTTCCAGCAACAAAGTCTGCCTTGTAATCCTCAAGCCCCCGTTCAAGTTCTCTGTACTCCATGGTCATTTTGCTGCACTATTCTCCCATCTTCAGGTGTGGGCTGGGGATACCTACCCTACAAACTTGTACTGTTTACTGTGTTCTGTGCCATGCCTCCACGTGGTTGTACGTCGTCCCTCGCCTGTTAGGAAGGAGGGTATTCACAAACGGGAACATCACTCCATCTATAAGAGCATGGGTCGTGTATCTGGAGGCATTGCTATTTTACTTAGTAAATCAACAGAATATACAGCGAAGCAAGTACCATCTGAAGATAATCACGTTAGGATAACACAGATTGTTAAACCTACGTTTGAAGATTGATATGTACTTCGGAAAAGGCTCCCTTCGACTTATCGGAACACTAGCCTTTATAAAGACATCTTGAATGCACTATGTAACACAAATATTCTTATGTCGGAACATGTGTACAAGCTCGTGACCTCAACGGTTATATTAACCAATATCCAACTAGCCAAAGGACCAAACAGTCTCCTCTCAGCCTCGGTATCAACAATACAGCGTGCCTTAACAAACTGGGACTACAAACCTTTTATGAAATTCACCCGACAGTGGGTATATATAACTCATCTGTGGAAAAGAGCATACGTTCATCCAAAACACAAACTGTACATATCATCCATGATATATCTGGCATGAGAAAAACCTGGTGATGTTTCATGTACACAATGTCACACCATAGTACCGGGCTGTAGAAAACATGTCAGCATTGACTGTGAAGGACTCACAACAGAGAAATCAGATGTGCGATAAAATTTCTTCAGTGCTGCACATAAACGATTTGATTAATTTTTGTGACCAGGATGACACTGCAATGTTGACCTGTTTGCTTGGAGGAGATCACAACACTTTCTGTCGTATTGATTTTAGCACTTGGATACAATTTGTGTTGGTTGTCTCAAAATTAATATTTGCAGGCTACACATCAAACACAACATGTTATAACCGTTACTGTTCACTAGCATCTACCTAGAAGGGCATTGTATGTTTATATTTTTGTTATCTGCTTTTGGTTAATTACAGGTCATTTATGACTTGATCTAATTTACCTTGATATGTACTCTTCAGTTATTGGAGAAATAAAGAATGTCTGTCTGTCGTCTCTGCCCTGTTAGGAAGGATACACAAACGAGAACATCACTCCATCTTTAAGAGCATGGGTCGTGTAGAGATGGTAGAAGAGAGATGAGCAGGGCTGGAGTGTTCCATTACCGAATCAGGGGGTTATTTGACGCTCATGTTGTCTTTCCTTGCCAGGATGATGTCTGGCGCCAGGTCAAAGTGAACACAGTTTATGTGTCATATCTCTCGCACGCACGCGCGCACGCACGCACGCACGCACGCACGCTCTCGCTCCCTCCCTCCCTCACTTACAACGGAAGGAACACACACGTGCATGCACGTCGCTATATAAGTGCAATAATCTTGGACGCGACGTTAAACCCAATTTCACCTCACCTACAGCGGAAGAAAAACTATTTTGGCGCTTCCTGGACCAGTTAGGGCTCAGACATGGTTCAGTGACGCGGGGTTTGGTGCTCCCAGTACAAGGGAAGCAAAACAAGAACAAAGAAGTGCCCGAATCAATTTCATTACCGTACTTAATGTTTAATTAATGCATGTTAAGCTAGAATGTTTAAAATGTTAAAATGTACCTATTGGTACCCATATGAACTACCAGGTAAGGTAGTTCAGATTGAACTTAAAACAGTATTACATTGTCAGACATATCTTTTCGGAGCAGTCGGATCATGTTCAGAACACAACTGAAAATTTGTAGGAACATTTATGAAATGTTCTTTCCAGGTTTAAACTTTATCATGATTATTTTACAGAACTTAGATAGTTTGTTCAATGTTTATTAAACAATTAAACAATAAATTCATTTTAAACATGTCAGGTTTAATATAATAATATTTATGAATGAGTTGTTTCATCTCTTTTTTCAAATGAAGGTCATTTAACCAAAAAGTGAAATTCATGTCCTATGGCATACAAGTGGCAGAGTGGTCATTTTCCTTCAGCTAATGGTAATTTCCTCCATCCACCTGTTTCAACTGTTAAATTGTGATGGGGGTAAAATTCTAAAAACGTTTTCATCTGTATTAATTAAATGGTCATTTTTTGCAATTCTATACATGGATCCTTTGGAAGATTTAAATCTTGCAGATATCCAGGATTGCAACTGGATATCATTTAGTTTATCCTTAACTGTATTTTTAAGATAACCTTTTTTCATATGGCCTTGAGACAGAAGTTTTGATCTTCTTGAAAGCTTTATCTGTAAACACATCCGCATCGTACGTAGACTCACTGCCAATTATCTGCAAATTGTTAGTATCATGATCTGTTAAAATTAATTGTATTTTGTGTTTTATCCATTTTATGTATTTCTACTATATTCTAAAAAACTCGTTTATATCATGATGCATATCTGTATAAAACGATAAGCATTAACGGTTAACAACATTCACGGCTAATCCATCGATTTGGTACCAACAGCAGAATCCCTCGAATTATGAGTTCTGCTTTCCCGGGACTATCTGACATTCTGATGTGGCTTTCCCGGCCCAAAACAGCTGAGAACACTCCGTTCCATTGGCCAACAGTGTTCGGTCCCGCGTGACACTGGACAATCAAACGACGCAGAGGCTTCCCGGTCATTGCATGACCTCGGGTTCCACATAGTTGGCAGAGCTGGCTTCCCGGTCATTGCATGACGTTGGGTTCCACACAGTTGGCAGAGCTGGCTTCCCGGTCATTGCATGACCTCGGGTTCCACACAGTTGGCAGAGCTGGTTTTTCCGGTCATTGCATGACCTCGGGTTCCACACAGTTGGCAGAGCTGGCTTCCCGGTCATTGCATGACCTCGGGTTCCACATAGTTGGCAGAGCTGGCTTCCCGGTCATTGCATGACCTCGGGTTCCACACAGTTGGCAGAGCTGGCTTCCCGGTCATTGCATGACGTTGGGTTCCACACAGTTGGCAGAGCTGGCTTCCCGGTCATTGCATGACGATGGGTTCCACACAGTTGGCAGAGCTGGCTTCCCGGTCATTGCATGACGATGGGTTCCACACAGTTGGCAGAGCTGGCTTCCCGGTCATTGCATGACCTCGGGTTCCACACAGTTGGCAGAGCTGGCTTCCCGGTCATTGCATGACCTCGGGTTCCACATAGTTGGCAGAGCTGGCTTCCCGGTCATTGCATGACGTTGGGTTCCACATAGTTGGCAGAGCTGGCTTCCCGGTCATTGCATGACCTCGGGTTCCACACAGTTTGCGGAGCTGGCTTCCCGGTCATTGCATGACGTTGGGTTCCACACAGTTTGCGGAGCTGGCTTCCCGGTCATTGCATGACGATGGGTTCCACACAGTTTGCGGAGCTGGCTTCCCGGTCATTGCATGACGCTGGGTTCCACATAGTTGGCAGAGCTGGCTTCCCGGTCATTGCATGACCTCGGGTTCCACACAGTTTGCGGAGCTGGCTTCCCGGTCATTGCATGACGATGGGTTCCACACAGTTTGCGGAGCTGGCTTCCCGGTCATTGCATGACGATGGGTTCCACACAGTTTGCGGAGCTGGCTTCCCGGTCATTGCATGACGTTGGGTTCCACACAGTTTGCGGAGCTGGCTTCCCTGTCATTGCATGACGTTGGGTTCCACACAGTTTGCGGAGCTGGCTTCCCGGTCATTGCATGACGATGGGTTCCACACAGTTTGCGGAGCTGGCTTCCCGGTCATTGCATGACGATGGGTTCCACACAGTTTGCGGAGCTGGCTTCCCTGTCATTGCATGACGTTGGGTTCCACACAGTTTGCGGAGCTGGCTTCCCGGTCATTGCATGACGATGGGTTCCACACAGTTTGCGGAGCTGGCTTCCCGGTCATTGCATGACGATGGGTTCCACATAGTTGGCTTGATCTTGTTTCGTCCGTTTGCCCTCACTCTTACTTTTGACATACAGTTATTAAGCACGTATTTGTTACAATATTGTTGGGTTCCAACAAGGCGTTTCCAGGATTTTGAAAAAGGGTGTGTTGCACATAATATTCTAGTAACGATAGAAGTACATGTATGATATCTGAAAGTGTGTGTGTGCTTCTATCAGGCAGGTTTCTCTCCCTTTTTATAGAGTTTGCCCTTGTCAGAGACTTTGCTCTGATCTTGTTCAGTTATTAATTATACATAGTACTGACTGAACAACGTCAACTGGAGCGGTCGGATACATTGTATTAACGAGTACATCTAACTCCCCTGGGTTTCAGCAGTCAGCTATGGTTTCCAAAGACCCATTCCTGGAGCGACGCTGTGGACCATGCCGGATGTTGACGGTTGTCATGGTGGTCCTCCTTAGTGCCACCATCGTGGTCAGCGCCACGCTTATAGCTACAAGTAAGTCTCTTAATGGCCCTCTATAGATAGATATAAAATACCGTTGTTGTTTTCCAGAGCATCCATCACTAAGTAATTTTTACGCTAAGTCTTATTATAATATCAGGGAGTCTATATAGACTATACATTTGTGCATAGTCCCCCTGCTTATAAACAGATCGTATCAAGTAAAGGCATTTATTATTCTCGAGAATCTTTGGAAATTCATAATTCTTATATTCTATTTTACGATAAGTCGTTGCCACATAATAGAAATGAGAGTACTTCGAATATGCTTATTCTGTGACAAGATGTAAGTTTCAGAGTCGAAATAAACTGCCGGACAAAAAAAGTATATTCCCATGTTTGATGGTGGCTAAAATAAAAAAAACCACAAACACAAACACATTGTTATTCGAATGTGATATATTTGTGTTTTTTAATCATTTTCGAGTGTGATGCCCGTTTCAATTGTCAAACCAGAAACATTAGAGCTCTGCACAGCGAAGCCGAGAGCGGAAGCGCTGCGCAGGGTAAAGTTACTTCAGAAATGTTTTTATTAGAAGGAGTGAGTGAGTGAGTATGGTTTTACGCCGCTTTTAGCAATATTCCAGCAATATCACGGCGGGGAACACCAGAAATGGGCTTCACACATTGTACCCATGTCGGGAATCGAACCCGGGTCTTCGGCGTGATGAACGAACGCTTTAACCACTAGGCTACCCGACCGCCCCATTTTTTATTAGAAGGAAAGAGAAAGTTCGTGTGTTTTTCTTACGGGTGAGTTACAAAGTACTAATGGCCACCTTGATTAGATTAACCCGTGTTTATCAAAGCCTAGATTACAAATGACTCTCCTACCCAGAGTTCCTTGAGGCCAGGTTAATACCTCTGTTACAGCGCACACAGCCCATTCATGTGTTTTTACATGTTTCATTTTGAACGAGTCTACATATTTAGATAAACGTAACTATCATTGAGAAAATATCATAAAACATGAAAAACTGTTTCCATTTGTGTATTTATCCCACATTGAAGCCCTACGGAGTACTGGCGATACGGTCACTTTATAAGTAAAGTTATGGTTGTAGTGGTATGTCTATATAATTATGCTAAACAATATATAAAGCGCATCGAAAGGCTTTCATTAGGCCCGTTTCCTATTTCATAATAGGGGCGTCGGGGTAGCCTAGTGGTTTAAGCGTTCGTTCGTCACGCCGAAAACCCGGGTTCGATTCCCCACATGGGCACAATGTGTGAAGCCCATTTCTGGTGTTCCCCGTCGTGGTATTGCTGAAATAGTACTGGAATAAAACCGGTGTAAAACAATACTCACTCATTCACTATTTCATAATAAGTGCGTTTGCTTTCAAACAAGGGAACCGTCTTCGCAGGTGATAACCCTTCACCCACGGTGTGGTCACTGTAGCAGAAGATTCTGAGTACGATCGGGGGTTATTGGCTATTGTTATAAACAAACCTTCAGAACGATCGACGTCCTGCCCCTTTTAGTTTGCAATGTTAAGGCGACTGTTTTCATCCGAGTAACGTTTTGTTAACGAGTGTTTTGGCCAAATCTGACGTTTAAGTGTTTTTATTCTTTTTGCCTAGCAGTTTATATGTAATGAGGAGGCATGGGTGGCCCAGTCGTCTAAGGCGCCGCAATTAGCTGTGCAGAGTTGCGTCCCTTGGGCATGCCAGAAACCTATGATTGTGGGTTCGAATCCCGGTTCGCCCCGATTATGTTTCTAGGTTTGTCAGCACCATACCCGTGCTCGTGGGTTTCACCGAAGTGGTAAACGTCTGAGACCTGCATCACTTCGGGTTTTTCTCCCACATAAAGCTTACATGCCGTGATATGACTGGAATACTGTTAAAAACGGTGTTAAACACAACTCACTCACTCATTCAATTATATGTGATGGATCTTGATCATTTTCAATTACTTCATCCGCTCACATTGCAGCATTTCCAGTTGGTGCATCCATTAACAAGAAGTTAACTGTTGGAGGTGAGAACCAAGCATTAACTTTACAACATTAAGGATCTTTTTTACAAATGTTAACATTGATTTAATTATATGTTTTTTTTAAAGAAATCGTCTTGTGTCATAAATTTTGATTAATAAGTCCTGTATAAAATAAATTACTTTTGATATTAGTAGATTACATTTGATAACCAAGATTGTCAGTGGCTGTACCCTCGATGGGGTTTAATTAGTGTAAAACGATTTTCCCCCGGAGATGGTACGAAAGACCACGTCATTCAAAGTATATTAATACTGCCACAGTTTTAATCGCAGAATATGTGTCTTTTAATTCAGCTAAATTTGTCACTAATCGCCAACACCTGAAGGGGTGATGTTAATCCTGCTAGGGTCCATGCAGGTAGCAAAAGTACTGGAAGCATGGTCCCAAGTGTGGTGATTTACGTTCAGTTGCTGGCGATCTGTAGCCTTTTATAGATTGTATCGTTACATATAGTGAAATCTTTTTATGGTTGTATTCTAGTTTTAAATAATAATCTGTGATATTCTAGTTATTTTACTGTCCTTCGGTGACAGGATTTTACTGTTTAAATATATATATTATGTATAACATTTATTAGTCACGATATGGCTGAAATACTGCCGACGTGACTAGAATTCTTAACTCACACTCACGCAGACTTTACAACGTTAACAATATTGACAAACGTTTTGTCAGAACACATTCTCATTATTTTGGTGGAGAGATCGTTCCTCTATGTTGTTACGAGACAGGATGGTAGGTGTCTGATACGAGATATGATGGTATCTATGACAACAGCTTGTTGTTATACACAGATAATGTACACTGGATAATTGAGGATTTGGGAAATTGGGAACTGTATTTTGTTGTACTAACACCTTGTCCAATGCTTAGGCATATCCGGTAGAAAAATTGCAGCTGTATTTTTTCAAAGTGTATGACGTGGGATGATGTAAGTCCATTTAGCTGAAGCTAGTTCCAATGGCTTGCCTGTGTTTCGTGTGAAACATGTTTTAATGGTTCTGTTGTTGTGTTTGTGTGTATGTGTGTGCGTGTGCGTGTGCGTGTGCGTGTGCGTATGTGTTTCGTGTAAAAGTTTTTTATTTACACAACTGTAACTTGCAGGATAGGTATTACACTTTCGAGAAATAATATGTGACATGCGATCTTTAATACTCTCCTGATTGTCACCAACCCTGTCTTTTAGACGGTAGATTCTAGGAATGATTGGCCAAACGTCGTATTTTGCTTCTAAAAGACATAAAGTTTACAAGAAACTGTCATAAAATTAGCCGCTTCTTTACCAGGAGCTAACCTTTAGCAATAAGGTATGTTTATAAATGTAAACCATGAAAGACCAATGTTCGACAAATGAACATTGTAGGCATACACGACTGGAGACAGCACAGGGCATGCGCTAACTGTTTGTAGCTGTAGAATGAGGACTGCACCATAATACGAAAGATGCGATCCAAACGAACTTACAGTTGTCTATGCCTACGTTTTAGTTTCTTCAGACGCCTACTGTCTCGACATCGCCGTGATCGGCGGCGGCATGGGAGGCGCCTACACGGGGTGGAGACTTAAGGACAGAGGTCACACAATATCCGTGTTCGAGTACTCGGACCGAGTCGGGGGGAGAATCTTCACAGCTAAAGTTCCTACAGTTGCAGGCACGTACGTGGAGTTAGGAGGAATGAGGTTTAAATCCGGGGCTCACCCAATATTGAATAGAACAGTGACGTCGCTGGGACTAAACATCATACCATTTTCCTTCGGGTTTGGAAATGCAGATGAGACGATCTGGTACACACGTGACACACACATGCGCAATACGGACCTTGGAACAAACAAGACACCCTTCAACCTCAACAAAGAAGAACAGAAGGATCCTGATACATTATTGTGGTATGTGGAGTTTTGAACAATAACTTTCTATTTCGATCATACCAACAATAAAGGAACGACCCGTTTCTGAATCATGCTAACATTATTATTCATTTAACAATGAGCCTAATTAATTTTTATTTTTAAAAACATCTTACAACAAAGTATTTTTTGTGGCAGAAAAGTCGTCTATTGTTTCAACAGTCTAATGCTTAATTATGTTTTACAAGCACATTATGGGACAACATTTTTTCTCTCGATAAAATCACAGCACTCTCAAAGAATAAGATATGGTTGGACTTTCTTCTCGTATAATATTAATATCTATCAACCAATTAGGATGTTTTTCGATAATTGATTATTTCTCAAAATATGACCTTGCGCGATGTTACATATGTTATAATGACGTGTGTGAATGAGCATGCATGTTTCAACAGGGAGCTGTTCAAGAACAACGTCAACATCACCGATACCTACCCCAGTCTGGAGCAAATGTACTCCCTCACCACCTCGGATGGAACGCCACTGTACCACATGTCGTCAGTATTTAGTTACTTTTCTCTCGTCACGGTATGGCTGAACTATTGCCGACGTGACAGTAAATAATAACTCACTCACTCACTCACTCACATTTATCTCTTAACCTGTTTGTCATGTGTCAGCTCTTACACAGACACTTTGATATTTATCAAAGACTCGAATTTCCTTGGTTCCACAGAAGTGGAACGGTGCCATTCCATGGGTTTGACGTTATGACCATTGTTTTATCACCCATTACTAATTTCTTTTTGAATTTGACGAAATCCTTCTCAATTAACTCTAAATTCTGCATTGTCAGTTCGTTTTTCCTTAAGATCAGAATTTATAAACGTTGGCACCCAACGAGCAGATATCTCATTCATGTGTAAATGTTCATGAATAATAGTTTCAATGGATGCATGATTTAGACCTGGTTCTTCCCCTAGTCCAGCAATGGTAATATGTATAAGTTTACGAAATAAGTTTTTCTATCTCCTTGATTGAAACTTCTTTGCTGGAAGTTGAGGGACATCTAGTTCTCCAGCCTTAAATATAGCTACCCAATGTTGAACAGTGACATAGCTAGGGCACTTATCCCCATACACTGGTGACATTGATAAAGTATCACAGGCGCCCAAATGTTAATGTCATTAACACTTCATTAAAGAATGCTCAGCACCACCACCGTTCGGCTGGCCTTCACCAACGTGATCGATGTCTATATTGTTTCATCACACGTTAAGCTGGCAAGCCGTGAGATAACGGACAATTCCCGTGACAACACTCAGTCTACTCCAACACGAAGTGACAGAGTTGGTTTTAACGTCACTTTCAACAGTATTGCAAAAATCGGTGTTGGATCTGGGATTTGAACCACCACTATCGTAACGACGCAGGATTCGAACTCACAGCCATCGTATGATCTAGAAAATAGGATTGTAATATGTATACTTCAACCTTATAACTTACTGACTGTTTACATGATTTAATATAGGTACGACAACTTCCTTGGACAATATGCCAGCAGGGAAGCCTACAAATACGAGCTGGACACCAGTGGATGGGCTGACGCTGTGGGTAGACAGGGGGCTCTCCACGGACCAAAGGTGTTTCTGTCATACCCCGGGAATACAGGACCATCTGAAGGATACAAGACAATCGAGGGGGGAATGAGCAAGGTTCCACAGACTCTCATGGAGAAATTCCTCGAGGCCAGCACAAAGTGAGCTACCCCACCGTCCCGCCTATACTACGTAACATGTCTCTCATAGAGTTACCTTAATATAATTGCAATGTATACTTATATTTGTATATTCTGTAGTAGGGCTCCATGTGGATTAATGGGAGAATAGATGAGACATGTGTTGTGTTTTTATTCAAAGTGTATTTTTATATTTTGCTTTATCGTGAAATGTGATGTACCCATGTACTCTATTCATAAAGGATATCAAGTGTTTTAATACTTTTTCAATCGGTCCTTTTGAACAGCACTTTTGCATCTGACACTAAGGTTGCCCTTCCAAGATAAAGCATAGGTGAGGTGAAATGGGGTTCAACGTCGCGTCCAAGATTTTTGCACTTACATAGCGACGTGCATGTACGCGTGAAACGAGGGACAACATTAAGATTAGCCAAACAATATGTTGACTACGTCTACGGTAGCCCGGATTACGGGTGACCTCACATGTCTTTATTCTAACAGCGTTGTTGATTCATCAGTATGAATCTAACAATCTCACGAAAAGAAACATAATGGCACAAGAAAATATTAATTTAAAAATTAATTAATTAATTCTCACAACTGAACCTCACATGATATGTTTTCCCCACAGACACGAGCTCCACCTGAACCACCAACTGATGAAGATAGAGAAGAGACAGGCTGGAGGATACAACCTCGGGTTCAGAAAGACTCAGACAACAGACGGAATCACAACTCCTGTACAGGTCAGTATCCTCCCTGTAGAACCAGTGCTTTTATATTTAGATAGTCAGTGGGATTTTAGTGTTGATAAAATCGTTTAATGGTTTTGATGTATTTCATGAGTTAAATTTATTTACGTCAGGTAATAAATTTGTGTTTTTCCAATTTTAGACAGGTGACCCTAATGTGGTGATGTGTGCGAGGAAGGTAGTATTGGCTGTCGAGCGGGAATGCATTCAGGATATTGACTTCCCTGGTTTCAAGGACAACCCGGAGATTGTGAAGAACCTGGACTCTGTTTTCTCATATCCAGCTGGTAAAATCTTCCTTGCCTACAACACCACGTGGTGGAAGACCGGGAACCCTGACATCACCCACACCAGGAGTGACCTACCCAACAGACAGACCTATGACTGGTCCACCGGCACCAACAACGTCTCCATCATCCTGGCGTCCTACCACGACGGGGACTTGGCACACTACTGGCGAGAACTGAGTCAGTTCGGGACACCCATCCCTGGCAGTCTCCCAGGAGCGAATGCCGTTACCGACGTCGTCAAGAAGAGAGTTGAGAAGTACCTGAGCGCCATCTACAACGTCAGCCAATCTGACATCCCCGAGGCTGTGGGGGGCGCAATGATGTTGTGGGACAAGTATCCTTTCCAAGCTGCATGGAGCTATTTCAAGCCCGGATTTGACGAACGAAAAGTTCGCGATTTGATAGCCAAACCGTCCCCGTCCGATGACGTGCACATCGTCAGCAACTCCTGGGCTGCAGACGATCTTCAAGGATGGATTGAAGGAACGTTGAGAGCTGTTGATGTCGTCATCAGCAAATATCTCCCTGAAAGTGGGTAGGCGTGAAGGAATCATTGCCTTTGTGGTTTGAAACAGTACAGTCCTCAGTAATGATTATGTTGTTAATTATAGTTCGTAGTAATAGCTAGATAGCAGAAAATTGTTTAAACTAAGTGAATGAGTGAGAATGGTTTTACGCCGTTATTTGCAATATTCCAGCAATATCACGGAGGGGACAGCAGAAATGAACTTCACATATTGTACCTATGTGGAGAATTCGACGTGATGGGCGAAACATTAACCACTAGGCTACCCCACCGTCCCGCCTATTCTACGTAACATGTCTCTCATAGTGTTACCTTAATATAATTGCAATGTATTCTTATATTTGCTTATTCTGTAGTAGGGCTCCATGTTGACTAATGGGAGAATAGATGAGACATGTGTTGTGTTTTTATTCAAAGTGTATTTTTATATTTTGCTGTATCGTGAAATGTGATGTACTCATGTACTCTATTCATAAAGGATATCAAGTGTTTTAATACTTTTTCAATCGGTCCTTTTGAACAAAACTTTAGGATTTGACACTAAGGTTGCCCTTCCAAGATAAAGCATAGGTATCCTTAAGAAGAAACCTTATAAGGGGAACAAACCTCTTATGTTGATAATATACTTTGGTCTCTGCACGCTCACTACATAGTTATCATTATTTTATACGCAAATGGGATACCATGACATGCAGCAACCGAGTCAGCGAGGTTGATCACCCGATCCCGTTAGTCGTCTTGGTTGCTGAAGACCAATTGTGAACCCGGAATCTTCACGGAATCATATCATGATTCTTCAGAAACCTTTAGATCATAGTACACTCTTACAGAATTCAATAAAGTAATGAAAGAAAAAGTACATATCCAAAACACACAGAATACCCTGGTACTTCTAGCCACGAGAGATTGTAAGAGACAAATGTGTAGACCGTAGCATGATATGTATAAAGTGATGGAGAATATAGTCTTTACATGTTCGTAAAAAAATCTACTCATCTTCTGTCGCCATCAGCAAGCAAGCAGCAAGCTTTGGTTCCTGTCAGTTTTACTAGACCGGTCTTGTGCACTTTATAATTATGTGACAGGATACGAAACGTTGCCAATACACGTGTCAATGTTTTCTCAATGTAGGAAAACATTATATATATATATATATATATATATATATATATATATATATATATATATATATATATATATATATATATATATATATATATATATATACTTCTGGTGATAACAAAGCTTAATATGATTTATAAAGGCTGAACATCTTAGTCTTTGATACCCGTTTTGAATTTCAACTTCAATACATGTTTGCTTAGATAAACACGTTTTTGTCCACAATATTGGGCTATCCAAATATAAGAAAGATATGTCTTAAATGGCACTACCCTCACATAAAATATTTTAGTATACTTTAGTTTTTGTTTAGCATAGCTTAACTGACAGGAAATTAGATGATGTCACCGTCCGATCTAGGATGCAAAATGCAAACATTCTTTACTTATAGAGAAGAATATACAGAACATAAAACTTTGGGATCATGAATAATATTGAGGATATTTTTTTATGAAATCGTGTTCTCCATCTTCACTACAAAATAATATCCCCAAAATGTTCATGATCCCTAACTTGTTTTTGTGCAGTATGTATTTGCTGAGGCCTAATATAGTCGACATTCATTCTTCTCCACGAATGTCGGCAGTTAGGTCTATCTATGTTGAAAGAATCACCCCTATATAATTCACCAAGTTCATAGAAGACTAAATATAAGGCGTCAGAGCCTACAAATCTGATTAAGCAAAGGGGTCCCTTGAATACAGGCATATGGTTATACTCGCGTTCGGTCCACAAACCTAGATGCTGTAACGGTATCTCTGTGCGTCTCCCTACCAACTGTTTGAATATTTTCCTGACGCTTCAGAGCAACGGGCTGCCTCACATAGCGTTTTCCACATGTATCACCCATCGCACTTTATATTCTTCAGTGAAGTGCATGTGTCATCATCTGACGACAAATTACCCTTCTGAGACACCTGCCTTACGAGTACTTATATTTTACATCGTGCAACACTACAGACAGACGGACAGACAGATGGTTTATTCAGTATTAGGCATCACGGCCCATAGTTCAAAGTAGATTGCATATTAACATTTATCACGTGATGTACATTATTAGATTTTAATCAAGTTACCAATTTCTCATTATTGAGACATGTTTTAAAAATACAGCAACAGCATGGATAAAAAATATCAGTTTTTTCAGAGTTCAGTAGATTAACAAATACCCTGCGCTAAGGGGGATAATTTGTACATTAAATGACAATATTGTTCACATATCAGTAAGACATGGTATTCATCCTCTAATTCGCCGGATAAACAATTTGTACACATAGAATTCACAATATCATCGTCTTTGAACATGCAACATACACTCACATCAAAATTGTGCAAATAGGTTCCAAAGTCACAATAAGCTCTGATTAAACATTTTCACAAGTAAAATATCTTTCAGTTTGTATGAATGATTTCACTTTGCTGTAATTGCTAAGATAAAGTGATACAGAAATACTCTCATGCCACTGCTGACAAAATATAGCATTTAGTCTCTGCTTAGCTGAATATGAACATAACTGAATCTCCCACATCTCGGGAAATCTATTCATATGAAAAGCCACAAACAAATAATAGATTTCTCACATCTGAAACCAATTATTTTTATCATTATCATCGAGTACCTTAAACAGTTTGTAATACTGATCTGAGTATCTTTCAGGCGTCATGGGACGTAACTTAATCTAATACTAGTACTTCATACACTCTAATTAATTATTTAATTTCATAATACTACGGCCTGTTTCCTAAGGATTACTTTGTTTGAAGCAGGTTAGTAACACCTAGTAAACATATCAAATATGAAGGGTTTTTTTTCAATTTCAGCGCTTAGTACCCCACAAATGGTACATGCTGTGACAAAATATAATTACTTATCGAATTTGAAACCGGATCGATAAAGATTTTTATCCGCCATTACGCTCACCATCTGGGTGAATCCAATCCAATAAGTACATAGAAAGTCGCATGATCGAACATATAAGGAACATAATTGAAGGCGCGTTGGAGGCCTACTAAAGCTCTCAATGCAGCAGGCGAACCCATTCGACAGGCGCAATGGACATCTCCAAATGAAACTCGCAATAACTGTCTTCCCTCCTATGTTTCATATTTTTCGTGATTGCGCCAAATTTGTAAGTTTAAATCCGTCTATCATTGCACGAAGGACTGGATGAATGTAAGGCCTATGTGATATTGTACCCAAAATACTTGGTAATTTTGTACCCAGGAATATTTATTTTTCATGTTTATTGCAAGCAATGTGCACTATATTATAATAAAACATTTCATCACGTTCATAATATGACTAACTGTACCTGGTCCTTGAGTGAGGTCAGTCTACATTGCCACAGCTCAAATTGTTTTTGGTTTTGATAGGGAAGTGTCATCTTGTCACTGAAGGAGAGGCCAGATACATGGTTAAACCTGAGCTAATTGTATTGTTTTGACAGAAAAGTGATAATAATGTAATTGTTTGATACTAAAAGTAACTTTAAAAATAATACAAAATTTTTCTTGGTACAAAATCACACCGGTTTGGGGAACAAACTCACACGACATTTTGAGGTACAAAAATCACTCCATTTAAACTGGGTGTCGTGGAAAGATGGGATTTAAAACAAGATTTCTCGTCAGTGGGATTCCTTGTCACATATTAAAACGAGTATTTGTTTACTCAACCAAACAGGCAGACAGGTCATTTTTTTTGTCATAAAAGTAGATTTTTTTCAGAAAATATGGACACCTTAGAAATAAGGGCTTTTAAAGTGAAAAGTCTATCTAACTTGATGGTTTGACGTTGGTCTATCAAAGAAAAATCCTAAAGAAATTTTAGATTATTTTTTTAGGAGACTGATAATTAATTTCATGCCCTTAACCAAAGAGTATTCAAGGAATGACAAATATGTTTTTTTATATTGAAAATGTGACCTTTTTTTGCAATTCTCGTTTCATGATGGTTTTGGCACTTTTATACACACCAACTGAGAAACGTGTGACCCACCAACTACGGACAGTGTAATACTGTGATTGCATACAAGGGAAAAACAGGTTTGCAGCAGTACATGCATGTGCACAGTAAACCACATAAGGTGAGATAAAGTCAGGGGTAGTGGCTGGCTGGCAGAAATACATCTGGCAAGGGTAATCATATATAGGGACATTTCTTTTCACTCCACCCAGAAGACTGAGACATATGGAACATGATAGGGACCTTTACTGACTGGATATTCAGAAACCCATCAGCTGATCAAGGATGTCAGATCCAAGGCTGGTGATGATCTGCATTAGTTGAGATTTTTGTACATCACGTCGACTGATCGATGAAAACCTGTTGACCACAGTTTACAATGGTTTATGTTCCTGTATGGGCATGAAGGAGCGTCACTGTCGCACACCGGAGCATACTGCAACAAACCTGGAAAGTCATGCCAGACTGATCACACATGATTTCATTGATGAGAACCCAGAAAAGTACACAGTAAGTAGGAAATCGTCCATGTACTTTTCTACAACAGAACTGCAAGAATTGTAAATGTACATAAATGTGCCCTATTCCTTTTTCAAAAGATAACTTTCTCTTATAAATATATGGTTACCTCACCAGCTTAGGTTTTTGTAATTAAACAAACAATAATATCGTGTAAAAATAAATGAATCATATTCAGAATACAATTATATTTTAGAATTATTTTGTATGGAAACAAACCACTTAAAACATAAAATTAATGTCCATATGAGTTTTGAATGTCTATGTTAATTATCTTATCTATTTAATTATTTATTATTCATTGAATTCTAAAATTTAATAAAGACATCAAATAGTTACATATTCACATAATTCATCTTCAGGTGAAAGAAAATAATTGAAGATAGGTCAGCTGTAAATAATTAAACATTAACAAATATATCATCAATACATTATCATATGCTACTTAAAAGTGTTCCCAAATCATGCTGGAATCTATAAATGTATTATAATAGCAAAATCCGTAAACTATCTCAAATTTGAAAATATTTTCATTTAGTATTTTATTGATACATACATCACGCAGCAGCGTGTTTCGTAACAGCAACGCATTAATGTCATTTTGAAACCCACGTTGTCGCCGCCCATTTTCGCGCTGTTACGGGGGTGATCATTGCCGATCGACGATCTCTACAGACGTATTGCGTGGGACACAAGTATTGCAGTGGAAACAAAATCATCAGCGTGTACATCGTAAATACATGAATCATATCCCTTCATATTCATCGTAACATCGAATGACGATCCTTATATAACAACAAAAGTTCAAATAAAAGATACCAAGAAACTTGCATGTGGCGTGTTGATTCATCGCCTACCGTTTCCGGGTCACGGGGGCATGAAAGG